CCAAAAGGTATTTCTGCCCCTGGGAGCAGCTCAATGGGGCAATCATATGGGCGATGAGGGGGTAATAGATCTGCATTCTTCTTGTCACAGACGTCCCGAAACTCATGGTAATGTGTGGGCAAGTTGTCATATGACTGGGTAGCCACTATATCACCTTGCGCTTCCTTGGTCGGTGATGAACTTGGTCGGCAAGGTTTTTTGCAATGTTTTTCACAGTGGGAGGACGTAAAATCTATAGTCCGTGCTCCCCAGTTGATGGAAGGATTATGAGTGGAGAACCAAGGAATGCCCAGGATGATGGGAAACTTGGGTGATGTAATCAGCTGAAAGCTGATGGTCTCACAATGGTCAGCCTCAAACAACAGTTTCAGGGGGACCGTTTTATGGGTAACAGGTCCTGAAGATAAGGGTGACCCATCAACTGTCTCCATATATCAATAGGGGTAAATGTGTCTCTTGCGTCAATATTATTGCTGTTGGCAAACTCTATATCCATAAAGTTCCCCCCCGCCCCGGAGTCCAGCATAGCTGAGCAGGAGATTTCATGGCCCTCAAATACAAGTTTAATAGGGATAACAAAGTGAGAAAGTAGGGAGTTCACTTTATTCTCTTCAGAAATCAGTGGGGAGACAGACTGGCTTATAGAGTTTATGTGTTCAGGCTCAATCACATCAGTCACAGCAATAGTTCTTTTAACCTTGTTAGGACAATTAATTGCATAATGACCAGAATCCCCACAATAAAGACATAAATTCTCTGAACGTCTTCTCTCTTTCTCCTGAATGGAGATGGATCTCTTGATTGCATCAACCTGCATAGGCTCAGGAGTGTTAGAACCCAGAGAGACTCTTGAATCCTGCTGAACAAATGGACTAGCAGAGAGATGCATGCCCCTATTACTTCCAAGTATTCCCAGCTTCTCCTTTCTCTTTTCTGTAAGTCTTTGATCGATTCGGATACACAATTGGATGAATTCCTCAAGATCATTAGGAGTATCACCTCTGGCAAGCTCATCCTTTACCTGTTCAGAAAGCCCTTGGCGGAACTGGCTCTTTTGTGCTGCAGGGTTCCAAGTGGTATCTGCAACCCAACTTCTGAACTCGGCTGTGTATTCAGCGACCGAGCGTCTACCCTGCCTTAGACTATGTAATTTTGCTTCGGCAGAAGCACAACGGTTGGGATCATCAAAAACCTGATTCATCGCGGTCAAAAAGGTATCAAAATTATTTAGAATGCCATGGTTTTGCTCTATATAAGGGGAGGCCCAAGCTAAAGCTTCCCCAGTAAGAAGCCCAATAATAAACATTACCTTCTTTTTCTCTGAAGGAAACGCAGCAGGGTACATTTGAAAATATATGCGACATTGATTAAGGAAACCCCTGTATTGGCGGCGGTCTCCATTAAACTTAGATGGTTGGGGCTGGGGCATATGTGAGCTAGGATCATCACGGTTCAGCAGTTGCCTCTGCAGAGCCTGAATCTCTCCCTGTTGCCTATCCACAATGCTTTCCAGTTTGGCAACTTTTTCCTGATGGGTAACCCCAAATTCCTGCAGCTCAGCAATTTGCTGCCTAAGAGGATTCACAACATTTGCTATAGCGGCCTCCATGTTTGGGCCAGATTATTCTGTCACGATATAAGGTCAGGTTCAGAGACCAGTTGCTACAGCAGTTGTAAGGCTTACCTGAAACCAGCAGGATTGGTACACCAGCGGCCCACCCTGGGAATGACGCAGGCTCACCTGAGGTGCGGGGTCTAAGCATCCACCGGTCTTCCCCAGAGCTCCTAATGGTGGAGATGGATTTGGCTGCGTGTGAATGCCAGGTCACAGGTCTCAGGATCACCCCACCAGGGAATGAGTAGGCTGGAAACCAAAAGCGGATCAAACAGTTCAGGGATTAAACAGAAGCGGAGTCAGTCACAAGCCAAGGGGTCGGGTCACCAATGGTAGTAGATAGGATGAGGCAGAATCGTAGTCAGTAGCAAGCCAAAGGTCGGTAACGTAGATGAAGACAGCAGCAGGAAAGCAAGCAGGATATTGGCTGGTAAGGCACAATAATCTGGCAACCAGGAAGTGCAGAGACATGGCTTTTATAGGAAGTTCATGGGAGGAGCAAGGAGTTCAAGGTTCAAGACAAAACAGGGCAAAGGCAGGATCATCCAAAGAATTGTCAAGGGAGCTGTCCAGCATTCCAGGTGGCTCAGCGAGAAGAAACACTGTCTCTCACCGCAAACTAATGATGGGGCATTATTCCTCCCACTGACACCAACGATGGGGCATTATTCCTCCCCCCCCACTGACACCAACGATGGGGGCACTATTCCTCCCACTGACACCAATGTTGGGGCACTATTCCTCCCACTGACACCAATGATGGGGCACTATTCCTCCCCACTGATACTAATGATGGGGCACTATTCCTGCCACTGATACCAATGATGGGGCACGATTCCCCCCACTGACACCAAAGATGGGGCACTTTTCCTCCCACTGATACTAATGGTAGGGCACTATTCCTGCCACTGATACCAATGATGGGGCACGATTCCTCTCACTGACACCAATGATGGGGTGCTATTCCTCTCACTGACACCAATGATGGGGTGCTATTCCTCCCACTGACACCAATGATGGGGCACTATTCCTTCCACTGACACCAATGATGGGGCACTATTCCTCCCACTGACACCGATGATAGGGCACTATTCCTCCCACTGGTGTGCATTGGAAGAGGGGTAGTCTTATACGGCGAGTATAGCCCAAACACTACATTTTAGCAGGAAAAGTAGGGAGTCGTCTTATATGCCCAGTCGTCTTATACGCCGGAAAATACGGTATGTCAATATATTTGGGAAGAATATTTTTAAAATATATTTCAAATATATTTTTCGTCCATATGGGGTCCCAATACTTTTGGCAATATAGTTGTGTATATATATATATGTGTGTGTGTGTGTGTGTGTGTGTGTGTGTGTGTGTGTGTAAAGCACTGTGCAAATTGACGGCTCTATATAAGTACCTGTGGATTAATTGACATACCAATTGTAAAATAAGCAATACAGACTTGATTGATTACTGAGTTCACATTTGAAGGGTCAGTCTAACTATAAATGGTATTTTAAATAAAGTAAGAGCCTTTTGGTCTGGTTTAGTTGGGTTGGTCCTTCCCACTCCACCTTTGCCTGTTGTGGTACCTCTGATTGCATTTATGCATATTATAAAATAAATAATAAGTCTAACAGGGAGAGTGAAACTATCGTATAATGGCCACAGCAAATGTGTAGACCCAGGAACTCAACAGCAGAAATCTAACCAATAAAGCCCACAGGAGATATAGGAAATTGTCAGGTGATGTATTTCTCCAGTGTATACTAAAAATTCATATGGATGGAGGCATATAGAACTGAAGCTATTAGAAATAAATATTTAGCTTGTTTTCTTAAAGAAAAAAAAAATATTTCTATTTAAATTACAAAAATAGAAATCTGAATAGTAGAATACAAAAAGCAGATGATAATGTACCTGAAATTACATCTGTAGCCTGTGACAGAACTTACAAAAAAAAAAAAAAAAAGCATTCCTAGCATTTAAAGCAGTAGTAAACCCTGCTCGGACAGTTGATTGTCGGGTTCTATGCCAAGCAAAAGAATGTTTTTGACAGCTAAGAAGAGTTTTCAAACACATTTTCCACCTTAAAGCTGTATAGGTGTCAGCTTTTCTGTCAAGCAAGATGTTGATGTTGAGAACACTGAGTTATGGTTAATAGCCTCAATGTTGCCAAAGATTGTCAGCTTGTCTGCTAAGCAAGATAGTGTTACAAACAGAGCATGTACATTTGTTTGTTTTTAATTCTTTGTATTGCTTTTAACAATATTACAACAATCTTACTTGACGTACAAAAATAATACAGTGTACCAAAGGCACATATCTCACTGGCTGAGATAGTGAACTAACAAAATAAGCTAACCACCAACAGTATGGTGAAGAACTCCATAATACCCAACCTACCTACCCCTTCCCCTGCCAGTGTAGCATTCCTTCAGTGACAGAGCATGAAGGATACTGTCCTCCAGTACAATTAAAGAAATACTACAACTATGAAGTTCGAACTGAGCCGATTTATTAAGGAATAATACAGAACCAATATGTCAGAGGGAATAAAAGGGCCAGACATAGCAAACAACTATGCCTACCTTTTTCAAATTTTTTTGGGCAGCCCCTATTCAAATGTTAGCTCTATATAGTCTCAGTGCTTTATTAATTAGGCCTTTCATGTAGATCCATTGTCAATCATGATGCCCACCGACACCCCCCCAAATAAAAGGCTCCACTCTTGACAAAGGCTCCTGCCGTCTGACCGCTCTGTCGCCTGACAATGTTTAAATAACTATGGGGCTGGGTTACCTGGTGTCATTGACCTGGCATGCCCCTGTCAATGATATCACAAGGTAATTGTTAGGGGGACTTCCAGATTCAGATAATCCCCCCGCCCGAAGACCCTGACAACCACCATCCAGGGTAGTGAGCAAGAGGTCCTTGTCCCCATCTATATGGGGACATGGTGCTTTGGGGGACAAGGTGCTTTGCAGGGTCCCAAAGCACCCCCCCCCATGTTGAGGACATGTGCCCTGGTATGGTCCAGGCGACGGGGGCACTTGCTTACAACCCCAATTCCTGACCGGACCGGGCTGCGTACTAAGATTAGGGTTTGGTATGGATTTTGGGGGGAACGCCACACCATTTTTTTCCCTAATTTTTAGTTGCCTTCCCTTAGTAAATTCTCCTCATAGTTGTAATATTTTGCACATAGTAGGGCCATTGGTTACCTAATCTCCATGAGTATCCACCTTTAGCAAAATTGTCAGATTTGGAGGTTGAACCTTATATTGTTTATTTTATAGACAGTATTCATTATATTTTTGCAAACTGGTAAAGAAGTCTTGGCAGACTACTAACACTTTGTCAGTACTGATAACATATAATAGTGGCATTTCTGGACCAGGGGCGGACTGACAACTCATGGGGCCCCCGGGCAATAGGGGATCATGGGGCCCCTGTGTCCTTGCCCAAACTCAAAAAAGTCTATGAAAAAAGGTACCAGGGGCATCTCATGGAGCCCCCTGCTGACCCCGGGCCCTCGGGCAGTGCCCAAGTTTCCAAATGGTCAGTCTGCCCTTGTTCTGGACAGTTTTGGCTCATGGCTAGCATAGCATACAGTTAAGAGCTGTGTTAAATACTACTACTGCTAAGAGATAAAATTCTCAATTAGCTCTTTGAAGATATGATTCTTTACAAAAGGAATATTTACCAATTAAACATGCAAAATAAGTAATGACTTGCAGTCACAAAGATTTTATGTCATTGCCCAGTTTAAAAATCTGCCATTTATTATGCTCACATTTGTCACTTGATTTACTGTATTTTATAAATAAGAAAAATACAAGCAGTTAAAAAAGTACAAATTCTGAAATTCTACAAATAAGTATAAAATTATATTGAAATCACATTAAGGTTTTATGGTTTACTTCCAAAACAAAAGCACAATCAACCATTAATTGTTTTGTTTATTGCACACAAGAAGAAACAACTGACTCATATGAATCATATTACAAGAATTATTATTTATGCTATAGAAAGAACAGATGTAAATTTCCATGTATTCAATATTAATTTTCATCTCTGCATACCCAACAAGGGGCTTGACACAGTCTTAGCAATGGATAAATGGCTGACAGAATTAATGACTGGTAGAAACAAATTAGATTATAGGATAAATTTTTGTATCCGTAATCTTACTCTACAATTTGAAATTGTTCAGCATACTAATCACATATTAGCAGATAGATCATGTGTATATCCCCAGCAATTATGACTTCCTAACAAAATAATTTTTACTTGATGTTTCTCATAAATATGATTTTTTTTCCTGGTAGGACACATTTTAATTGCTTACATTTGATGCACAAAAGGCAAATCTAATTCCCTTCAGAAATAATTGCTTTTTTTACACTGTATCCAATTTTCTTATTGAAACTAAGAACCAATCTGTTAATTTTCTCCCCCGACAGGCTGATGGAATTTACATACACATTATGATGATTTGCTTCAAAGATACATGCAAATATTTGCTCTGGCTTTCACAGTACTTAAAAACATCTTGAGTGTGACATTCAGTTTCAGATAAAAATTAGAAGAGAAAAAAAATATATACACATATACACATATATATATATATATATATATATATATATACACACACACACAGTGGGGCAAAAAAAGTATTTAGTCAGCCACCAATTGTGCAAGTTCTCCCACTTAAAAGGATGGGAGAGGCCTGCAATTGGCATCATAGGTAGACCTCAACTATGAGAGACAAAATGAGAAAAAAAAAATCCAGACAATCACATTGGCTGATTTGGAAAGAATTTATTTGCAAATTATGGTGGAAAATAAGTATTTGGTCAATATCAAAAGTTCATCTCAATACTTTGTTATATATCCTTTGTTGGCAATGACAGAGGTCAAACATTTCCTGTAAGTCTTCACAAGGTTGGCACACACTGTTGCTGGAATGTTGGCCCATTCCTCCATGCAGATCTCCTCTAGAGCAGTGATGTTTTGGGGCTGTCGCTGGGCAACACGGACTTTCAACTCCCTCCAAAGGTTTTCTATGGGGTTGAGATCTGGAGACTGGCTAGGCCACTCCAGGACCTTGAAATGCTTCTTACGAAGCCACTCCTTCATTGCCCGGGCAGTATGTTTGGGATCATTGTCATGTTGGAAGACCCAGCCACATTTCATCTTCAATGCCCTTGCTGATGGAAGGAGGTTTGCACTCAAAATCTACGATACATGGCCCCATTCATTCTGTCCTGTACATGGATCAGTCGCCCTGGTCCCTTTGCGGAGAAACAGCCCCAAAGCATGATGTTGCCACCCCCATGCTTCACAGTAGGTATGGTGCTCTTTGGATGCAACTCAGCATTCTCTCTCCTCCAAACACGACGAGTTGTGTTTTCTACCAAACCGTTCTATTTTGGTTTCATCTGACCATATGACATTCTCCCAATCCTCTTCTGGATCATCCAAATGCTCTCTAGCAAACTTCAGACGGGCCCGGACATGTACTGGCTTAAGCAGGGGGACACATCTGGCACTGCAGGATCTGAGTCCCTGGCGGCGTAGTGTGTTACTGATCCCTTTGTTACGTTGGTCCCAGCTTTCTGCAGGTAATTCCCTAGGTCCCCCCATGTGGTCCTGGGATTTTTGCTCACCGTTCTTGTGATCATTTTGACACCACGGGGTGAGATCTTGCATTGAGCCCCAGATCGAGGGAGATTATCAGTGGTCTTGTATGTCTTCCATTTTCTAAATATTGCTCCCACAGTTGATTTGTTCACACCAAGCTGCTTGCCTATTGCAGATTCAGTCTTCCCAGCCTGGTGCAGGTCTACAATTTTGTTTCTGGTGTCCTTCGACAGCTCTTTGGTCTTCACCATAGTGGAGTTTGGAGTGTGACTGTTTGAACTTGTTATCAGTATAAAAGACACCTGTCCACAACCTCAAACAGGTGCCATTGATACAGGTAATGAGTGCAGGACAGAGGAGCCTCTTAAAGAAGAAGGTACAGGTCTGTGAGAGCCAGAAATCTTGCTTGTTTGTAGGTGACCAAATACATATTTTCCACCATAATTTGCAAATAAATTCTTTCCAAATCAGCCAATGTGATTGTCTGGATTTTTTTTCTCATTTTGTCTCTCATAGTTGAGGTCTACCTATGATGCCAATTACAGGCCTCTCTCCTTTTTAAGTGGGAGAACTTGCACAATTGGTGGCTGACTAAATACTTTTTTGCCCCACTGTGTGTGTATGTATATATATATATACAGTCATGGCCGAAAACGTTGATATTGTTGGCACCCTTGATATTTCTCCAGGAAATCATGTATTTCTCACGAAACGTATTGCATTAACACATGTTTTGCTATACACATGTTTATTCCCTTTGTGTGTATTGGGACAAAACAAAAAAAGGGAGGAAAGAAAGCAAATTCGACATAATGTCACACAAACCTCCAAAAATGGGCTGGACAAAAGTATTGGCACCCTTTCACAAACTGCGGATAAATAAGAATGTTACAAGCATGTGATGCTCCTGTAAACTCACCTGGGGCAAGTAACAGGTGTGGGCAATATAGAAATCACACCTGAAAGCAGATAAAAAGGAGAGACGTTCACTTAACCTTTGCATTGTGTGTCTGTCTGTGCCACACTAAGCATGGACAACAGAAAGAGGAGACGAGAACTGTCTGAGGACCTGAGAACCAAAATTGTGGCAAAATATCAACAATCTCAAGGTTACAAGTCCATCTCCAGAGAACTAGATTTGCCTTTGTCCACAGTGCGCAACATTATCAAGAAGTTTGCAACCCATGGCACTGTAGCTAATCTCCCTGGTCGTGGACGGATGAGGAAAATTGATGAAAGATTGCAACGCAGAATAGTCCGGAATGGTGGATAAGCAGCCCCAAACATGTTCCAAAGACATTCAAGCTGTCCTGCAGGCTCAGGGAGCATCAGTGTCAGCGCGAACTATCCGTCGACATTTAAATGAAATGAAACGCTATGGCAGGAGACCCAGGAGGACCCCACTGCTGACACAGAGACATAAAAAAGCAAGACTACAGTTTGCCAAAATGTACTTGAGTAAGCCAAAAGCCTTCTGGGAAAACGTCTTGTGGACAGATGAGACCAAGATAGAGCTTTTCGGTAAAGCACATCATTCTACTGTTTACCGAAAACGGAATGAGGCCTACAAAGAACAAAACACAGTACCTACGGTAAAATATGGTGGAGGTTCAATGATGTTTTGGGGTTGTTTTGCTGCCTCTGGCACTGGGTGCCTTGACTGTGTGCAAGGCATCATGAAATCTGAGGATTACCAAAGGATTTTGGGTCGCACTGTAGGGCCCAGTGTCAGAAAGCTGGGTTTGCGTCCAAGATCCTGGGTCTTCCAGCAGGACAATGACCCCAAACATACGTCAAAAAGCACTCAGAAATGGATGGCAAAGAAGCGCTGGAGAGTTCTGAAGTGGCCAGCAATGAGCCCAGATCTAAATCCCATTGAACACCTGTGGAGAGATCTTAAAATTGCTGTTGGGAAAAGGTGTGTCCTTCCAATAAGAGAGACCTGGAGCTGTTTTGCAAAGGAAGAGTGGTCCAAAATTCCGGGTGAGAGGTGTCAGAAGCTTATTGATGGTTATAGGAAGCGACTGATTTCAGTTATGTTTTCCAAAGGGTGTGCAACCAAATATTAAGTTAAGGGTGCCAATACTTTTGTCCAGCCCATTTTTGGGGTTTTGTGTGACATTATGTCATATTTGCTTTTCTGCCTCTGTTTTATATTTGTTCCAATACATACAAAGGGAATAAACATGTGTATAGCAAAACATGTGTTAATGCAATACCTTTTTTGTGTGAAATACTTGATTTTCAGGAAAAATATCAAGGGTGCCAACAATTTCGGCCATGACTGTATATATATATATATATATATAAACACACACACACATATACACACACACACATATACACACACACACACACATATATATATATATATATATATATTGTAGATAGATAGAGATATAATTTTTTTTCCTGATCACTCACACAGTCAGATACTGATAGGTGCGCTATCCTCCAAAGCTAAGCTGATTTTACTATACACAGCACAGAACTTGTTCCATTTACCTTTTTGGGCCTCATCAACAATAATTTTATATTCCTGTCAGCAGTGTCGGAACAAGGTCATCCAGCGCCCAGAGCAAAGATGCCAAACTGTGCCCCCCCCCCCCCATGATGTGCAAGCTTAGGGAATTCTACGCCCAGCAGTTACTCGTCAAAATCACTTCTACTGCCACTACTCTTGTAACAGAAGCAAAACCATTGCTCCCAGGGCAGCTGACCCTTCCACCCACCCCTTGTCCCGGCCCTGCCTGTCAAGGGTGTCTCTGGTGCAGGGTGCCCCAGGTTCCCGACACCGCAATCCACCACCACTGCTCCAACTGGCATTACTCTCCGACGAGTGCAGCTGCCCATCACAGACATCAGAGCCAAAGGAAACTTCCCATTGGCTCCTTGTATCTGATGTGTCACATGACACACAAAGAGGACT